ATTTGGAGGTCTGTAGTGCAATTAGGTTTGAAATGGCGAAAGTTGAATTTTTGAAAGTTTGACCGGGGGTATGACTTTTTGATATCAGGATCGGAATCCAATTCTGGAAATTGAAATAGGTCCGTAATGTGAAATGTGACTTGTGTGCAAAATTTGAGGTCAATCAAACGTGATTTGATGTGTTTCGGCACAAGATATAGAATTTGAAATTTCAAAATTCAATGATTTTGAATTGAGGTGTGATTCGTCGTTTCGATGTTATTATGTGTGTTTAGAGGCTTCGAGTAGGTCCGTATTATGTTATGGGACTTGTTGGTATGTTCGGACGGGATCCCGAAGGGCTCGGGTGAGTTTCGGACAAGGTCCGGATCATTTTCATTCATGTTGCAATTGCTGAAGGTTTCTGGTTCTGGTATGACCGCACCTGCGGCTGAATTTGCGCAGGTGCGATGATCGCAGAAGCGACAGAGAATTCGTAGGAGCGAAGGATGCAGAAGCGGAAGCCAGGGCGCATATGCGCGTGCGCAGAAACGCGACCGCAATTGCGGTTTTACGCGCCACAGAAGTGACCACACTCGGTGAGCATTGACCGCAGAAGCGAGGGTCGTAGGTGCGATCCCTTGTCCGCTGATGCGGAAATCGCTGGGGCAGAAGCTTAAATTCGTGGTTTCGTGATTTTCACCCATTTTCTGATTTTGGAGCTCGGTTTGGGCGATCTTGGAGAGGAATATTTCCACACAACTTGGGATAAGTGTTCTTGACTCCCTTGTGATTATATTTCATGAATTAATCTTCATTTTTAGTGTAAGATTATTGAATCTCCAAGAGAAATAGAAGGAAATTTCCATAATGTCACAAAACGAATTTTTTGAGTTTGAATACTGATTCAATGTCAGAATTGAGTGGAATTAGTATGGTTGAACTTGTAATTGGATAGGTTATCGTATTTTGTAAGTTTCTTCGGATTTCGAGATGTGGGCCCCACGGGTGAAATTTGGGGTGTAATTTCGAAATTTGTTGAAATATTAGTATTTTGATATAGAATTAATTCCTATAATTTTTGTGGGCTGAATCAAATTAATTGTGACCAGATTCAAGCCGTTCGGAAGTTGATACGCGCAGAATTGAAATTTCTGGAGCATTGTTTAGCTTGCTCGACATTGGATTCGGCTTGTTCGAGGTAAGTAACTCTTCTAATCTTGGAGCCGAGGGTATGGACCCTGAATATATGTATTATGTGAATTGTTGGGAGGTAACGCACCTGCTAGGTGACGGGCGTGTAGACGTGCACTATAGAAATTGTAACATAATTGTTTATGTGGAATTTTGTAGTTAAATAATCTTGACATTTTCCATGCAGTTTTATGTGTTAAAGAAATTGAGCTGAAAAGCATAATAAAAATCACATTGAGGCTATGTGCCAATATTATTGGGACCCACAAAGGTCCTATTATTGTTAATTATTTATTTTAAATTGAAAATTCATACTCAGTCATATTCATGTCATTACACATTATATCTCAGTCTCTGTTGTTATTTTATTGATACATCATATCATCATGTTTGGGCTATTCTTATGGCATTGTGAGCCCATGAGAGAGAGACTAGAGTGATTGATGACTGAGTGAGGCCGAGGGCCTGATTGTGAGGATTATTATGTGGATCGGTGCTGCCCGCCTGCAGCAGGCCTTATAGGCTTTATTATAGCACGTGAGTTGTCCGTGCGGATCCAGATATTATTATAGCAGGTGAGTTGTCCGTGCGGATCCAGATATTATTATAGCACGTGAGTTGTTTGTGCGGATCCATATATGATATTATAGCACGTGAGTTGTCCGTGCGGATCCAGATATTATTATAGCACGTGAGTTGTTTGTGCGGATCCATATATGATATTATAGCACGTGAGTTGTCCGTGCAACACGTGAGTTGTTCGTGCTTATAGCGCTTGGGCTGAAGGAGCCCCTCATGAGTCTGTACACACCACAGTTAGTGCAGTCGATTATAAACAGGGATCAAACTGCACGCCGCAACATGTATTATATAGCGCTGAGTGATTGAGTGTGCTGAGCATAGTGAGAGATGTGTTTTTCTCATGTTGTACGGTATCACAATTATTCATGATTTCTCACACATGTTGACAGATGGGCATAGTGATGCATTTGTTTTACACTGGTTATCTGGAAATAAAATGAGACATTTCATTTATTATGGAAAAGATTTTGAAAAAATAAATTACTGCTTTCAAACTTATTCATATTTTTGGTAACTTCGGTAAACGATTTGGGTTTTTACTGATATACTTGAAAGGCAGAACTATTTTCAGAAGTCATGATTTAGCTGAGCATTTATTCTTTGAGTTACTTCTGGTATTACTTGTTTAATATTGTTATAGACTATTATTGGTTATGGAAGTTGGACTCTGACCTTGGTACAATCTCGTCACTACTTTCAACCTAAGGCTAGGTTTGTTACTTACTCAGTACATGGGGTCGGTTGTACTGATACTACACTTTTGCACATTGCGTGCAGATATTATTTGTCGTTGTTGCTGTGTTCGATGGTTTCCAGATTTGAATATGTACCTGCGTTCCTGTTATATCTGCCTCTTGTTCATGGTAGTCTTAGATTTATAACAGCTCTGTTTATGTACTATTCAAACAGACTATGTATTTATTTCATTTCCGCTTGTAAACTCTATTCTTAGAAGCTCATGATTTGTACTACCAGTTCTTGGGGATTGTATAAGATTAAGACCTTTATTTACTTAAATTGCTTTAATAATTTTTATTAGAATGTGTTATTTGGGTCGTGACAAGGTGGTATCATAGCTCTAGGTTCATAGGTTCTACAAGTTATGAGCAAGTGTCTAGTAGAGTCTTGCGGATCGGTATGATGACGTCCATACTTATCTTCGAGAGGCTACATGGCATTTAGGATAATTTTCCGTATTTCTTTCTTTATCATGCAGAATTGATTCAACTTGAAATATAACTCTTTGATTTCCTTCCACGCATTCGTATGTGCACATGAGCGCTCAGTATCAGTTGTGCATCGCCGACTTGTGATTCTATGAACGAGGTTCGAGATGTGTACTATGTATCTTGGTGATGGGCCAGTCTGAAGGACTTGAGGCCAGGTTTAGACCGCAGCTTAAGCTTGGTAACTTCAGTTGTAACTTGCACATTTTGACACATATGTCCGGTAATGTCCCTACGAGTACAATTTGTGGCTCGATGAGCGGTGGAATGGCTTTGTGATGAGTATGATGTAACTACGAGATGTGTTAAGACGATTTGAATATGATGAAAAATGTTTCCTTGAAATGTAAAGGAAAGTCCATTGGGTGCTTGATTTTCATTTTGATATGACGTACACTTTCGAGTGTGAATCTTTTGAAGGATCTTTTATGTTGTTAAATATTGGGACAAATTAAATTCTCATGTCTGGTTAATGAGTTTGGACTCAGATTGACTAAGTGATTTCATAGTAATTGTGATTGCGAAAAGATATAACAAGATGCCAATTTGAGGTTAAGAAGGTGGATTATCCCCCGCGGAGTAATCTACGTAGGTATGTTCCTTATATGTGAGTGAAGAGTTTCTTTTCTGCCAGCATGGTGTATGCGTGGAGATTTGAATTTGAATCTGGTTGAGAAAGTTGACTTGAGTGTTAAGGGAGTGGATGCGAGCTTAGCGGTTGATTCAGGTATTTTTATGGTTGGCGTGGTATGAGATGAGAAGAATTTTCGTCGAACTGACTACGGTATTATAACAGTAATAAAGTATGAAAATTGTTAGTTATCGAGTGTTTCAACTTTTTGCTTTGAGCCAAGTAGGGAAGTCTGCTATGGAAAAATCAATTCATGGGTATGTGTCAAATTTTTATTTTGGTCAGAATTATACTTGGGAATTAGTGATGACTTACAGAGGTGGAGTTCGGAAATGACTAGAGTAAGAAAATTTCTGGATACGAGTTATATTGCACTTTATGAGTATATGAAAATCATGGGATGGGTGATTTATTATTTGTGAAGGATGTAGTGCGCACGGAGTATGAATTTGGTTGGTGGTGTGAAGGCAGGGGTACTTCTTTGGGTGTTGTTGTGCTAAGGGGCATGTGTCTTTCAGCCCGTTTGGGCGGTGCAATTGATATTTGAGAAGAGTGGATGACCCTTGAAAAAGTTCTAATGGATTCAAGATTTATATGTAACAATTTAGAATTTTTGGAGGATTTATGTATGGATAAAATCTGAGATTTGCATTTAATGGTGTCTGGACTTGTGGAAATTCTGTATGACTATGGATTCTGCATTTTTAAAATAAGGAAGGTAAGAAGAACAATTTTAAATTTACATAAGGTATTTTCAGAGTGAGTCTTACAGTTGTGGTATTTATGGAGGTGCTTAAGAAGAATGGCTTATAGGCCTTAGGGCGTTGTGGTTCTATGCTAGGATTCGTGGGGTGAGTTGTGGTTAAAGATCATGGTGTTTTAGCAAGGAGAAGTATCAATCTGAAGACAAATTCGGAAGGGTCTTGGAGAAAATATGACAATTGGGTAGTAGGCTAAACTAGTATGGTAATGGTATGATCGGTTCTTTGGGGTGCTTATAATGTGGGGGTTTTCTACTAGGGGTGTTCAAAACCGAACCGAAACCGAAAACTGAACCGAAACCGAAGCTTAATGGCTTATTGGTATCGGGTTAACAGTTTAATGGACGGGGAACAGATTGGAATTTTTTTTATTAACAACTTATCGGTTTGAGAGCGGATTATTCAATTTTCTTAACGGATAATCCGTTAACCCGTTAAGAATATATATATATATATATATATATTAAATATCAAAAACCCTTCCACTTCTTCCAGTACTCTATCTCTAAGTTCTAACGCCTAATTCCTAAATAATCAGAAGCCTAACGCATAAACTTCAACCAACAGCCACCAGCAGAATTATGGTTCTCTTGATTCGACTATAATTCAACCAGCTTCAGTATAAATTCAACCAGCAGCCACCCGCAGTAATGTATCTCGTCGAATTCCAAGCTTCCAGCACTCTATCTCCTCGACTTCCAGCACTCTATCTCCTCGACTTGTCGTCTCCCTCCCGCCGTCTCGCCTCTCCTTCTCGCCATAACCAGAGCAGCAGTCAGCAGATGGTAAGTTTCTTTTCTTGTTGATGTCTTTAAAATCAAAGAGCATCTCAATTCTCATTAGAATTATTAGTGCCTTAGTATGAAGAGAAAGCTCATAGTTTTGCTTTTTAAAATTGTAAATATGGCTCCAGCACAGCCTTTGTGTTGATTATTAATATATTGTTACCTTTCTAAGAAAAATGAACAAGAAACAAAGGGAAGGACCACACGTTTATTGTAATTTTGCTTCGTTTGTGCTATGAATAAATTAATAAAAGCTTAGATACCATTATATTTAATGAGCTAAACTACTGAAATTGTTCCTTTGCATCTAAACCCAGGCAATCACATAGTTATCTCAATGAAATTTGATATCCTTATATGATCCATGTTATAGCTAGCAAGAGTTACAGTGGCATATCCATTAGTCTGCTTTGGGATGTAATATATGTCTGGACTCATATGTAGTGTGCTTTGGGATGTAATGTAGCCTACAATGTGTTCTGCTTTTTTCACTCTACAACACATGACACACTACATCATTCTTATGTAGGCGTTAACAGACATGTATGTCTGGACTCAATGTGTAATTTCCTATTCTGAATTTGTATGCTAGGTAGTCAGCAAACAATTAAAGCACGCAATATAGATTGAATTAGGCCGATAAACCGCCCGATAAGAGCTAAACCGATACCAATCCGTCCGATATCTTATTGGGTGGCTAGCAGATTAATACATTTAATTGCCGATAACCATTAAGCCAAACCGTTGAGAGTAATTAACCACTCGATAAGCAACCCTATTTTCTACAGGTGCTTTGTGACAATACACTTGGGTTTGGCGACCTGCGTGGCTTGGTTAAGCTAGAGAGATTCAACTCTGATGGCTTGAATATGTACAAATGAATTCCAAAGCATTCTCGGGTATTTCTACCAAGGTTTGAGATGGGTATTTTTCCTACCAGCCTGAGGAGCATGTTGAGTATTGTGATTTTCTACCGGATGGGATCAAATAGAAGTCTTCTGGCTGATCGGATATGAATTCTACTTGTGACTCAGAATGATTATAAAGTTCTCGTATTTTTCAAATGATGGCATGATAGATGTAGTGTGTTGTGTGGGATTAAGGTTGGTGTGTGAAAGGTCATGGTTTAGCTTTGAAAAGGAGGTCATAAATTCTTAGAAGGGATGAACAATTTTAGATGTTTAGATGAAAGCTATCACTATTTGGTATTGCGTGAGTAGAGTGTACATTTCAGAAGGCGTATTGTATTTTGACTTATGGATGTATAATTAGTATTGCGGTACTCACATGGTTGATAGACTACTGATATTTAAATTATTGCTATGTGGCACGGAAGAATTATAGGAGTATTTCTTGTGGAATGATCGTGCATGAAAAATGTGTTAGTCATTCGAAGGCTAGAATTGGGATCAGTTATGATGATTCACATGTCCTATAAATTTGGAAGTTTCTGGAGCGGATTATTCATGGTTGCAGACTGTGAAGTCGTGGCTAAATCTAGTTAGATGATATGATGTATTAGGAATCAGTCACGGTAAATTTTTGGAGGATTATTTATCTATTTGTGGGTGACCAGAGTTGATTTGGGAGTCCATTGGTAGGCCCAATTAAGATGTGTATTCTACACCGAGCCGGAATGGTTGGCTCCATACTGCTATTTGTTGAGGGATGTGGCATTCGGTTGATGTTGAACTTATTCGTGTTCTGAAATGATATGTGAGTTACTCCTTTATGCTACAAGGAGTTGTGATTCATTGGTTATGTGCACACATGGTGCGGTTCTATTGGGCCTTATGGTAGAATTTGAATGAGATGAGCAATGGTTAGTGCATGATTGATTGAGTATTCGTTATGTTCTTTCAAGGTTTATGTAGCATTGTGTTATTTGCCTCTCCGTGGTTATTAATTTTGAGCAGGGTGGCTCGGGGTATATTATATGGACCAACGTTTGGATGGGGTCGCGCATTGCAGCGGAGTTATGTTAAGGTATGAACCTTGTGTTAGAATCGGGTGATGGTTCTACGGTGTATGATAAATTTTCAGCATTTCGTTGTGGAGGTACTTGTTAATCTTGCTGGGAATTCCTCTCATTTGAGTCATTTTTCATGACTGAGTGCATTTGAATTGTTGCGTATTGGTGCACGGATGGCACGGGTTGTGGCTCTAAGTATTATTGGTGCGGCATGTCTGTGGAATAGTTGTGTTTAGTAATATAAGGTCATTGGACCCATAATGGGTACTATCAAGTTTGATTACGGTATGTTCTGAAGGATAATATTGAAAGTCGGCTCAGAAAGCGATTATGGTTCTGGTTGGGGCGAGAAAGCTCCGTGATTTGTTGATCTGGTAAGTGGTCATGAAATTTTGCGTGGTTTTTTTATTATCAATAGTGTACGAAGGTTTTGGGATGAGGTTTGGTTTGATATGGGTTTAATACTAGTATTGGTTGGTTTTGGAGTAGTCACTATGATCAGGAATGGTTCCACGATCATGCGAGTGGTATAATATGTTAGTTGATTATATCTCTGGTTATGGTTATGGCTTGATATAGCTTTTTCAAACTCATACAATGTGTAAATGTAAGATTCGTGTCTTGAAAGAAATTCTAAAGGTTGGAAATTAAATTCCAAGGTTTATGGGCTAAAGTTAAATCAATGATTTCAGTTGTATTGTGTTGTCAAGACTATATAGAATAGGGTGATGTGAGATCACCCTGGGTACGTGTGTGGTAAGATGGAACAGTGATTTGATGGCTTGGAAACAACTCTTGGCACGTTCGAGGACGAACGTATGTTTAAGTGGGGGAGAATGTACTGACCCGGCCGATTATTTTGAGTATTACAACCCTGTTTCCCCATTTACTGTTCAAATCATACTTTACAGTTGTTGTGTGAATTGCTGGGGTAATTGGTTTTGGTCCGGTGAGGTTTTGGAATGAATTGGAACACTTAGTTTTAAGGTTTAAGGCTTAAGTTAAAATAGTGACCGGATGTCGACTTATGTGTAAACAACCCCGGAATAGAGTTTTGATAATTCCGAAAGCTCTGTATGGTAATTTTGGACTTAGGAGTGTGTCCGAAAAATTATTCGGAGGTCCGTAGTGGAACTAGGCTTGAAATGGCAAAAGTTGAATTTTGGAAGTTTGATCGGGGGGTTGACTTTTTGATATCGGGATCGGAATCCGATTCTGGAAATTGGAATAGGTTCGTAATGTGAAATGTGATTTGTGTGCAAAATTTGAGGTCAATCGGACGTGATTTGATGTGTTTCGGCACAAGATATAGAATTTGAAGTTTCAAAGTTCAATAATTTCGAATTGAGGTGTTATTCGTCATTTCGATGTTATTATGCGTGTTTAGAGTCCTCGAGTAGGTCCGTATTATGTTATGGGACTTGTTGGTATGTTCGAACGGGGTCCCGAAGGGCTCGGGTGAGTTTCGGACAAGGTCCAGATCATTTTCATTCATGTTGCAATTGCTGAAGGTTTCTGGTTCTGGTATGACCGCGCCTGCGGTTGAATTTGCGTAGGTGAGATGGTCGCAGAAGCGACAGAGAAGTCGCAGGAGCGAAGGCCGCAGAAGAGGAAGCTAGGGCGCATATGCGCGTGCGCATAAGTGCGGTTTGCGCGTCGCAGAAGCGACCACACTCACAGGTGCGAGCTTCGTCCGCAGAAGCGAGGGTCGCAGGTGCGACCCTTGTCCGCAGATGCGGAAATCGCTGGGTCAGAAGCTTAAATTCGGGGTTTCGTGATTTTCACCCATTTTCGGATTTAGGAGTTCGGTTTGAGAGATTTTGGAGAGGAATGTTTCCACACAACTTGGGGTAAGTGTTCTTGACTCCCTTGTGATTATATTTCATGAATTAATCTTCATTTTTGGTGTAAGATTATTGAATCTTCAAGAGAAATAGAAGAAAATTCCTATAATGTTACAAAACGAATATTTAGAGTTTGAATACCGATTCGGAGTCGGAATTGAGTGAAATTAGTATGGTTGAACTTGTAATTGGATAGGTTGTCGTATTTTGTAAGTTTCGTCATATTTCGAGACGTGGGCCCCACGGGTGATTTTTGGGGCGTAATTTCGGATTTTGTGAAAATATTAGTATTTTGATATGAAATTAATTCCTATAATTTTTGTGGGCTAAATCAAATTAATTGTGACTAGATTCGAGTCGTTCGGAAGTTGATAAGCGCAGAATGGAAATTTCTGGAGCATTGTTTAGCTTGCTCGACATTGGATTCGGCTTGTTCGAGGTAAGTAACTCTCTAATCTTGGAGCTGAGGGTATGAACCCTGAATATATATATTATGTGAATTGTTGGGAGGTGACGCACATGCTAGGTGACAGGCGTGTGGGCATGCACTATAGAAATTGTAACATAATTGTTTGTGTGAAATTTTGTAGTTAAATAATCTTGGCATTTTTCATGCCGTTTTATGTGTTAAAGAAATTGAGCTGAAAAACATAATAAAAATCACGTTGAGGCTATGTGCCAATATTATTGAAACCCACATAGGTCATATTGTTGTGAATTATTTGTTTTAAATTAAAAATTCATACTTAGTCATATTCATGTCATTACACATCATATCTCAGTCTCTATTATTATTTTATTGATACATCATATCATCATGTTTGGGTTATTCTTATGGCATTGTGAGCCCATGAGAGAGAGACTGGAGAGATTGATGACTGAGTGAGGCCGAGGGCCTGATTGTGAGGATTATTATGTGGATCGGGGCCGCCCGCCTGCAGCAGGCCTTATAGGCTTTATGATAGCATGTGAGTTGTCTGTGCGGATCCATATATGATATTATAGCACATGAGTTGTCAGTGCAGCACGTGAGTTTTTCGTGCTTATAGCGCTTGGGCTGTAGGAGCCCCTCACGAGTCTGTACACACCCCAATGAGTGCAGTCGATTATAAACAGGGATCGGATTGCACGCCGCAACATATATTATATAGCGTTAAGTGATTGAGTGTGCTGAGCATAGTGAGAGAGAATGCAAGACAGTGAGAATGAGTACTCTGAGAGTGTGAGTACATGAGTACAATCTCTAAGATACATTGCATTGACATGCACACATGACATACATGCATAGAGATGTATTTTCCTCATGCTGGACGGTATCACATTATTCATGATTTCTCACACATGTTGACAGATAGGCATAGTGATGCATTTATTTTACACTGGTTATCTGGAAAGAAAATGAGACATTTTATTTATTATGGAAAGGATTTTGAAAAAAAAAATACCGTTTTCAAACTTATTCATATTTTTGGTAACTTCGGTAAACGATTTGGGTTTTCACTGATATACTTAAAAGGCAGAATTATTTTCAGAAGTCATGATTTAGCTGAGCATTTATTCTTTGAGTTACTTCTGGTATTACTTATTTAATATTGTTATGAACTATTATTGGTTATGGAAGTTGGACTCTGACCTTGTTACAAGCTCGTCACTACTTTCAACCTAAGGTTAGGTTTGTTACTTACTCAGTACATGGGGCCGGTTGTACTGATACTATACTTCTGCACATTGCGTGCAGATATTGGCTGTCGTTGTTGCTGTGTTCGATGGTTGACGGATTTGAAGATGTACCTGTGTTCCTGTTGTAGCTGCCTCTTGTTCATGGTAGTCTTAGATTTATAACAACTCTGTTTATGTACTATTCAAACAGACTATGTATTTATTTCATTTCCGCTTGTAAACTCTATTCTTAGAAACTCATGATTTGTGCTACCAGTTCTTGGGAATTGTATAAGATTAAGACATTTGTTTACTTAAATTGCTTTAATAATTATTATTGGAATGATATATTTGGTAATTGGCTTACTTAACGGGTTGTGTTAGGTGCCATCATGACTAGTTGGAT